TACGCTTTTTTACTCTACCAGCTTGTCTGTACTAGATTAGGACAAACCTCAAGAAAATATGAGAATTGTGGATTTCGCTGGCGAAAATTATACTGTCGCCTTTTCGCTTGCTTGCTATCGAGCCGCAGTCATCTGCGCAATTCAAGGGCTAGAGGTGAGGCTGAAGCCTGTAAACTGACCCCAGTTCATTGTTTAGACAAAACACTATTCCAGTGGCTCTTAGCTTTCAACTGAGAGTTGGATCGTTCCATATTTTAGAAGTGTGGCAAAGACTCATCCCATAATTTTTCATTCATTGCAGAAGCAGCCGGTTCAGCAGAACCCGACGTTCCGCAGAAAATGACATTCAGCGTGAAGTTGACCAAGTTTGACGATGCCAAGAAGATCGCCCTTATCAAGGAAATTCGCTCGGCCATTTCTGGTCTCAATCTCGTGCAAGCGAAGAAGGTTGGTTTCGTTTGTCTTGCTCGTTGATAGGTGTAAAAAATCAAAGTGTACTCAATTACAGTTTGTGGAAACGGCGCCAGTAGTGGTTAGGGAAGACATGGGTAAAGCTGAAGCAGAGGAGTTGAAAGCTGCACTTGAAAAGGCGGGCGCTACTATAGAAATAGTTTAAGGTTGTTCTTACTTGTTATAGTTCGTTGATTTTTTATACATACATTTGTTACATGTTGACCTTCTGTTAACTATGCTGAATCGTCTTTTACATTTCAGGCCATAGATATGGTAGATTTTGTTATTGTAGCTTTTTGAGTTGTAATTTTCATAAATAGGATCTTGATATATGTGTATAGAAAGCATGTCCGTTAGTCCGTCATTTTCATGTTTTAATGACGCTGAATTACTAAGTAAAAACGGTTTCTTTTCTGTAGAACATTGTAAGCGCTGTTATTGGCTGGAAAAGTTGTGGGTATGAGTGTGCATTACTGTGTTTTCAAGTTTTTGGGTTTTGTGAAATGTTTATTGAAAGAGCCTGAGTGCGGCATCAATCAACGCAGTCTTAGAGCACGTCAGACTTCGCGATCGAAGTCTGAACGCGCTCTTAGACGCTTAGGCCCAGGATCGGGCTTCCTTGCGAGCCAGACTTTTCATTCTGAGGTTTCTTTTTCTCGAGGGTTTTGATAAATGAGTAATTGGAAGTGATATTGGCGCCATCCTCATCATCTTGAAAACGCAAGGGTACATAATTTCCAGAAGTGCTAATTCTGTTTTTTAGAGAAAACCGAGGAAAAGCACATAGTACATGTGTTTTAGTTGTGTGCCCTCTGTGAGCCGTGCTATCTCCTGGAAAAGAGCGAAGTCTATCCCGAGTGCTAACGAACCCACTCATGGTGCAACCATCGTCATCAGTGAGAAATGCCGTGAAATACGGCTTTCTTCCCGAAATTGTCGAGCGATAATGGTACAAATCCGACCAAGTATCCAATAGGCTGCGTTCATATTTCGCGGCAGCATCACGAGCGACGAATAACGTTCACCAGTTGTTCAAGCGTCGGCAGCTGTCGGGAACAGGGAAAGTGTAGATATCGGTTAATGACTGCCGAGCGTCTCGACAACGCTACAGCGTCGGCAGTATAGAGGCATGGCGCGATGAAGGTTAGGCTGCTGGTAGGAGAGTATGGCGCGACAGAAGGTAGCAAGACTCTGGTAGGCAGGTCCAGACTTCGCTGACGGCACTGCTTCTGTCGCACGCTCCACGCGATCGACTCAGTCGAAAGCATGCGCATCGATCGCGCCGAACGTGCGACCGAGGCGCTGCCGTCGCGAAGTCTGAACGCTGCCGTAGGGTATGGGGAGATAGGAGGGTAGCAGATTGCTGATAGAGAGTATAAACGGCGAATAGAAAAGTATAACTGCTGTCTGCTACGCCTTCTAATACTGGCATACTCCGTGACGCCGACACTGGTGAAGCGGTGAAAACGCTGGCAGACGCTGATCGATACCTATGCTTCCCTAGCCCTCGGGACGATGGTGGGCGGTGGTAGACGCTGGAGGACGTTGGCAGACGCTGATTGATATCTGTTACTTCCGTGGGTCTCTACGCCGGACGCTCGGAACGCTAATGGACGCTTCCGCAATCTATGAACGCAACCTTACGGTATAATTGCCGATGGGCGAATAATCACTGCCGATGGGCGATAAATAAATCATCGATAGAAGTTCTCCATCACGACGGGAGCAACTCTCTCAAAAAAATAAAGAAGATTCAAAGCGGTATAGCTTCCTCAGATCGTCAGAAGGTAGTCGCCACCTCAATCGCTCATGTTCTCCGACGAAAATATAAGACCTCTCTTCCTCATGGTTCAGGAATCCCCATCGAGATTGTGTCCTGTCAATGAAACAGGGAAGGTCTGTAAGATAGTGCAGAGGCGATGGCCGACTGTCTTGTATACACTGCATTACTGTTGAGATGTATTAGGTTGGCGGGAAAGTTCTGTCACATTTTTTCAAACAAGGCTTTCTTTTTATAGAGAGGCGTACAAGATCAAAATTATACAGCAATGTCATTGCGGAATCCCTGCCAGTTTTCGAGCACTTCGTGGATGCCATCGCTTCACAATGGAGGCTGGCACGACGCAATGTTGGACATCATCTCAACTTTTTGACTTGGGCTCAAGTCGTGGAGGTTTTCTCGGCTGTGCAACGGTTGAATACAGGAGTTGACTAGCAGCCAGAAAGAGCAATGTCTGGACTACATCATTGCAAGGGGAGAGCCATCCAGCTCCATTGCATGAAGTACGGCTCGAACTTCTTTTGACGGGGTGTGCTGGCACCCACAGTTGAAGAAGAGACTGTGTCGATGGATGGTGGTGTGCCCTCTGCTTGACGATTTCGCTCAGAGTCTGCGTATAGGAGCGGCCAGTTGGCGTACGGATTAACCGAGGAGACAGCTTCTTTATACAGTAGTTTCCCGGCCCACAGCTATCTCAAGCTGAGATCACAGGTACTCCCAAACATCACTTCGCCATTCGCACCGTAGCCTCCCGCTCTGAAGAGCCAGCGTCGTGGAAGATTGTCAGATGACTGTAGACATTGTCCATGTGCAGCTCCGTTATTTCGGCGTCGACAGCTGTCATGCTGGCGCCAGGGCGGTAGAAGAAAGAGTTTGAGGAAGCACTTGGAGGGGGCGGTCGGGTGCCATAAGGTAGGCGGATAACATTCTTGTTCATGGAGCAGGTGGGGGGCGGGATTGCACGATAAGGAGAGGCAGGAGTCAAGCCAGTGATACCAATAGAAAGACCATTCTTTGATGTATAAGTGCTCATATTACCGGTTAACGCTTTTCAGAAAATTAGCAAATATTTTGGGTTCAAAAATATATGACAGAACTTTCCCGCCAACCTTAATAAGAATCGTGGAGTTGAAAAAAACG